TAGAAGCAGCTGCATTCAGTAACTTTAAAATGTGGGGAAGTAGAGATGTGCCGATCAGGTTTTTTCCTGCCGATACTGATACCGATCACCCATGAGGGCCGATCACCGATACCGATCACATAATTATTATTATTTTTTTTTATCATAAACACTACCGGTTACATTATGTGGAAAAAGGAACCATGAATTCACCTTAATTTAGACAAAAACTTGTTTTTAATAACTTTTTTCAAGAAGAAAACTAAACAAAACAGGCATTGTGCGAATTGTACTGCTATTGATAATACTACCTTTAACAGACTGAAAACATATGAAGGCTCTGAAAAGGCTAAATAATGCAAAGAGCCAAAATAAAACCTCTCAACATTGCCAAAAAATTCAAGTATAAAACAGGTTCCATTACAATAAACAATCCAGATTTACTGAATGAAAACTTCCTGCTAGCATGGCGGCTAGCTGATTACTGCTAGCTCTGATTGGCTGTTTCTGATTGAGCGGAGTAATTATGCAGAACAGGGAGGAGATCGATTATTTTTTTTTTTAGAGATTATCTGTCTCATGTTAGGACAACTAAAGTTTTAATACGTATGTAAAATTTATTTTTTAAGTTAGATGTTGCAGCTTTAAGCAGAGGTTCGGCGTGAGAGTCACTACCAGGTGGAGCAGAAGCGGCGCTCCGTCTGTCACCGGGCAACACAGGACAGACAGCTTCATGCATGCGCTGATACCTGAAGGCACTTTAGAGTGGCTGATTGCCTCAGAAGCAGGAGTACCTGATGAGAACTGTCATGCACCAGGAGAACAAAAAGACCACAGGGTGGGATTCAAATCCAAGACCTACTAAAAAAGCAGCGCTAATAGCTGTTTACTGCTACATGTAAATCATGTGGTAGAAAACAGAAATATCTGTTAAACAGCTTCTTCTGTCTGCCTGCATTTGAACATGCTTACCTCACAGTAAGGGCATCCACACCATAAGGTTTTGTTGTTACCATGGGACCTGCTAGCTTACTAGGGTACATGCGCTTGTAAAGCTGCTCAGATTTATTTACGATCATTCTCTTGGTGGATGTGGGATGGTATAGTCAAGCTAACAGGCTCTTCAATTTCTACTGTGTTTCACATAGTTACAGTCAAGAGTTAGACCAAAGCCTTATATTGATGATGAGTGAGTAGCAGCTGTACATGCACTGTCAGTGTCACATCTTAGACTGAAACAAGACTCAGTCTAAGATGTTACTCAGTGAAGACAAACCATTGCACATCAGTATAGTGACAGTCACCAAGGTTTGTAGTCAGCTCAGACTGTCTGACTTTTCTGACCTGACACACAGCAGGTCAGTAAACGGGGTTGTTGCAACGTTTTTGAGCTGAAGATGAGTTAAATATTGTTTTATAGATGCTTTCCTTGAAGGATGAAGGTAACGGCTCAATTCAATGCTATGAAGACTGAAGCAGATTTACGTCATTCTCTTTATCTTTTAGTTAGTTATGAGAACCTGTCTAACTTAAAGTGGCTTCTTTATTTTGGATAAGCTGGCACCAAAAAACAAAATTGACATGAACTACAAGGAGACTGTCAGAATTCATATATGTCCAAAAGCTTTTAAGAATTAGAAATTGAAGTACAGAGGCAACTTTGTAGAAACAGTAAAGTGATGTTCCCTTGGACATTGGACTCAGACTTCTGAAATGAAACATTATGGGTTGACTGAAGTACAAACCTGGAGAAAGGTCATACCGAGGGCCAAAAAGTAAGGCAAAGTGTCATGTGTTTTTATGGAAATTGGTTTTTTCTTATTTCCCTTTAAAGGAGTGTGGATGTTCCATCACAGAAGCCATGCAACTGTTTTCTGCGACAGCTTCCCCTGCTTTCTGTCAGATGCAGTCTGAAGTAAATCTGCTCAGGAGAAAGATGACAGAAGTTTAAGATCATCAAAGGAAGAGCCTTTTTTCTCAGGAGGGCCAAGCTCAGTTTTAATATCATTCTTTTGTTCAGTATAGGCTGTTGTAGATGATTATTTCAGTAATCTATTGATTATTCTCATAATCAAGTAATTTAATTAAAAAATATATAATAAAATAAAACATTGGTAAATTCTTCCATAACATCAATATATTTGTGAATCCCTAACAATTTCAGTAACACTTTATTTGAAGTGAAACTTTGCATTAATTGTCAAGTAACACTGACACAGACTGGTAAATGACACTTTAATGCAAAGGTGGCACTTTTAATTGACTTTTAAAGCAACTTTGCATTAAAAGTGTAGAATGATACTTCCTGACAACATTCATAAACATTCATGAAGACTTCTTTGTGTTCATGACAGCTGCTGTCATGTCATATTTATCAGTGTTGTGTCAGTCTTATGCACATCCCTTCAAATAAAGTGTTACTCAATTTTCTGCAGCTTAGAAAATTATCCTGTAACAAAAATGGCAAGTTTTTAAGGTAGCCTGGAAAAATAATCACACAAAAATCTGAAATGATATTAAATTTAATAGTAAAGATGATGAAGCAGCAGACTGACATAGATACTTAAAATACTCTTGTCTTCAGTTTCCATAATCATTTTCAGTCAACTTAATACATGATTACATCCTTTGTAAGGCCATTTATAGCTTTTGTGCTGTTCCTGGAGTGGCAGATCTTTGGCACCTTCGTCACACACAGAAACACACCTGCCAGCTATGTGGATGTTTTCAGCTAATTCAGTCTGGTCTGTCTTTAGATCCACCATGTTTTGGAAATTTGACCTCCACACCACATCCCACATTGACACACTCCTGGAGAAGGAGGACGTGACCCTGACAGAAGTCATGGATGAGGATGACGTCCTGCAGGAGTGCAAGGCTCAGAACCACAAGCTGGTGGATTTCCTCCTGAGAGCGCAGTGCATGGAGGACCTGGTCACCTTCATCACACAGGAGCCCAATGCTGATGTAGAGGAAAAGGTTAAATACAAGTAAGAGCATGGTTCAGAACTGCCTTCTGGAAAAAGAATAACACTGTTTTTGATGTTTTTTAATCTTTATGTTGAAAACATTGAAGAGTTTATAATGTAGAAGACATAATTTGAAACAAGTGAGTGAAGTCATCAATAGAGATTGTGGGTTGCTGTTCCTGGAGTGAAATACTGTCGGCATGAATCGATCAGTAAAGAAAACTTTGTCATGAGTCTAAAGGGCAACATTTGTCTCATAGGTATCCCAACATATCATGCGAGCTGCTGACATCAGATGTGAGCCAAATCAATGACAGACTGGGAGAAGATGAGATGTTGCTGATGAAACTGTATGGTTTCCTGAAGAACGAACCACCGCTGAACCCCCTCCTAGCCAGTTTTTTCTCCAAAGTGCTGTCTATTCTTATAGGACGCAAGCCTGAACAGGTATGTCTGGGAAAATACTCAGTGGAAATTAGTAGTAGCACTTGTTAGGGTTGTGCCAATCAGTCGGCCATTGATCATTGTCGGCCGATCTCCGTGAAAAAGTATATGTTGGGTGTTTGCCAATCACTGTCTTTTGTTACCGACCACATGCATGTCCTGCTTGGCGGCTTGCAGACGCCCATTCTGCAGCAGATCTCCTTTTTCCTTCAAGCTGCGTAAGAGTGGCAGCAAATCCTAAGCAAAGTTGTGTGAAACGTTTGTGCTGTCCGTGAGAGTGATGTGAAGCTGTGAGATGGAAAAATACCTCGATTTCAGAATGCATCAGCACAACAAATTTAATACGATATTTAAAAAACAAATATTTAACATAGTGTGGCATATTAAAGACAGAGCAGTTAAAGTGCCTCACAATCACCAATGTGAACATGTCAATCAGTAGGCTGAGCAAAATGATCATTAAGTTTATGTGACTGGATGACCAACCCGTGTCACTGTTGGACGGCCTCTGCTGAGACACAACCACCATTTAAGCTCCACAGACAGCGGATCCTTAAAGCTGCAGCATGTCACTAATATTTTTTTTCAAATAAAAAGCTTTTTTTTTTTTTACATATGACATAGTGACATTTTTAATACCCAACATGAGACAGTTAATTTGTTCATGCACAAAACAATTGGCCATGTTTTCATTTGGGGGATTTATGATAGTTTATTTTAATGTAACCTGCATTTTTCTTTTTTCTTTACATTATTTGGTATAGGCAGTGTTGTGAGATTTATTTGACTTTCTGTATAATTCAGGTCGTTGAGCCCTGTCTGTTTTCAGTCTGTTAAATATTGTAACTGATAGGTTTTTCAGTCGTCCTTTTGACTGCATGGCTGTTACATTGTGCCTGCAAGATTTTTTTTCACGTTTTTGTATAAATTAGTTGATTTATTTATTTTTTTTAATGGTTCCTTTTGCTAGATCACATAACCAATTGTGTTTTTAACAAAATGGAACAATGAATAGCCAATACATGTGATTGGTATCGGTGATCAGTGATCAGTATCTCTTTTGGCAGCATAAAACCTGACTGAAGCATCTCTAGTAGTACCAGTTGTACCAGTAGTACTAGTTAGTAAAAGGAAGCTCTGCTGATTGCATCGAGTCACTGGCTGTCAGCAGTCCCTCGTTCTGAACAAGCATGTGGTGAGAGTGGAAAGAACTCTGTCATTTCTATCAGGAAGTGACATCCAGCAGAACCAGACCATGCGATATAATCGACCGGGCCTTTGAGAGGTCAGAGCGTACACACACAGTAACTCTGGACCTGGAGTACTTTCTATGTTAAAGAAAAGTCTCAGCTTTAGCAGTGGCCCCAATGCTCTCTGAGAGAAACACCTGGACTCTGAGTCAGGATGAAATACTCTACCTTGTTACAGCAGTGGCTATTCTAGAAGCAACGCTAAGATATGAATAACTGAAAGAAATCCTCTGAATGTCTTTTTTCTGTTTAGAGTTCCAGACTCCTGATGGTATCATTGTGAATTTCTCTTCTGTTTTTAACAGATAGTGAATTTTCTAAGGAAGAGGGATGACTTTGTTGATCTGATGATAAAACACATCGGGACGTCTGCCATCATGGACCTGCTGCTCAGAATGCTCACATGCATTGAACCCCAGCAGCTACGGCATGATGTTCTTAATGTGGGTAACGGCACCATGCTCACCAAGCTTTGCTGACATTCATCACTGTCTTTCTCATTCAAATGTCAGAAATCTGTAACAGTAATGTTAATCTGCTTCTCTGAAGGCAACTCTTAAGATTTTTTTGTGTAATAATGCAACACCCTGTTTACCGTCTTGCCTTCCAGTGGCTGAATGAGGAGAAAGTGATTCAGAGGTTGGTTGACATGGTCCAGCCTTCTCAAGATGAAGATGTGAGTGTTTTAAGAGTAATTTGGCCTTGCCTTTACTTGACCTCTTCTTCACACTGACCAGATTTTGTTGTCGACACAGAGACACTCCAACGCCTCCCAGTCTTTATGTGAAATCATCAGATTGAGCAGAGACCAGATGTTTCAGGTCCAGGGCTGCTCTGAGCCCGATCCTCTTCTGGCTACGCTAGAGAAGTATACTGCTACATTTGCATCTTATAAAACTAAACTTGTTTTGTTGGTTGATAACTCTTTATGGATCTGTGAATATGACATTAAAGGCTGAAGTGAAACTTGAATAACTCGGTTGCCAGTTTCACTCCTAATGAAAGTTGATGTTCAGACCCCAGATCATCAGAACCAGAGTTTGCTCAGTGGTTTTTATCATTTCCTTCTAATTCATGGATCTAACCTTTTAATGTTTAAATATGTTGAGCTCATCCCTGGAGAAGTTCCCAGCAGGGTAAGGCTAGCTGTAAGCCACGCCCCTCTGATGATGTCATCATGGCGGGGCCTTTGCTCTCAGTAGTTTCTAAAAGGATGAAGTGACTCATTCTGGGAGTTTGTAGCTGCTTGTTTGTTTCACTATGATGTGAAAAGAGTTTTAGGTTGCTAGGGAAACCCAGATTGGTTCCATTTCATCCTTATATTGTTTATATCATCATGTAAAGTTTTAAGACCTAAAATTCATTTATTTGCTTCTTGGTAGATGTTTTCTTCTTTGTTCTTATTTCAGTCTGTTTTAGACTTTCAGTTCCTTGTGATGTTTCTGGTGAGCTCAAGACCTCCTCTCACATCTCCCTGTTGGTCCTCTTCTTTCTCAGGCAGGAAACGGTGGAGCAGCTGCTCTCAAATATTTTTGAGAAGGACAAAAATGAGTCTGCTATAGTTAGTGTCATCCAGATCCTGCTCACATTGTTTGAGACCAGGAGACCAGCGTATGTTCTGTTCAATATCTTCAAGTTGACTTTGTGTTGGTGATGGTCGTGTGACAGCCAGTTGAATAAAATCTGCCGCTGCACTTCGTAGGTTCGAGGGTCACATGGAATGCCCTCCTGGGATGTCCCACCCCTCATTCTCAGTCAACCACAGCATCCTGGAGGCTGTGAGACCCCGCCTCAAAGATTTCCACCAGCTGCTGCTCGAACCCCCAAAGGTAAAACCTTTTCCTCACCCTGAAGGGTTTGGACTATCAGGTTGATCATGCTGTTGAGTGTAGTTGTACATGCTGAACAGTGTTTGCTCTCCATCATTAGAAGAATGTGCTGAAGACAACGTGGGGGGTCCTGGACCCACCAGTGGGCAACACCAGGCTCAATGTGGTCAGACTGGTGGCCAGTCTGCTGCAGTGCAACACTCACAGCATCATTGCAGAACTCATAAACCTCAACACGCTGGGAGTCATATTGGTGAGTACCAGCTGCTACACCAAGGCATGTCTCGATATCAAATTTTGCCAGACGATAAATTGTCCCAGAACTTATTGTGATAAACGATAATATTGTTTTGAGGCAATTTTCAAGTAGTACAGTAATAATAATAACAGAAGAACAATGCAAGACCACTTTCTCAAAGATCAATAAACTAAAATTCTAATGAACATTTAAACATTGAAACTGAAAGACATTTTAGATATCCAAAATAAAACAAAACAGAAACAACAACAAAAAAATAATAATTAAGAAGTCTCTGTGGACAGAATTGTCTGTCAACAAAGGGATAGTTGAGACCAAAGCAGAAAACTGAAGACCAGTTTTGGTAGAAAGAGAGAAAAAAAGAGAGGGTATCCTAACCCTAACAATAAATCAAGCAAATGAAAATTATTGAGTTCGTTTTGGTTTATCATGTGATTAATTTATTCATTGTTTATTGTGACAGGCCTAACTACACCATTCCATTCTGTTACTTTATTTTAATGCACTGATTATTATGAAACTCCCTCCAGATGGAATCTTGCATGAGTACAGACTACAACAGTTGACTGTAGAGTGCAGGTGTTAAGCTCTCTGTTTTAGGAGAGCTTACCCAGCAGCAGCTTTGTTGTCTTCAGTAAAGTTTCCATCACTTCATTTAGTGCTTTATAAAACAGTGGCCTCATATCATTCATTGCTGAACGGCTTGTCTGTTTCTTTCTGTTCTTTTTAACAGGATATGTATTTCAAATACATTTGGAACAACTTCCTCCATATTCAGGTGGAAATCTGCACAGCAATGATTCTGGCTATGCCTCCAGCTCCGGCAGAGCCGCAGCCAGACGGGGAGCAGGGCGGCGCAGCAGAGAGCGCCCTCATCAGACATGTAAGGCTCACTTAATGACAGGGAGCCTTCAGCTGATTACTATCCTGAATACACTTGTTTTCTCCTATTGTTCCACATTAAATGTCTTAATTAAGGAAAACATAAGCAGAGATTTTACATGTTCACAGCTGTGTGTAGATGTGCCCAATTAATTTTTATTGGGTTTAGTTTCTTTCGACATCTTCCACCAAACTAATGGATCAGTTCTTATTAGAAACAGTGAAACTAATGTTTCAGATCTTTTAATAATAAATTAAGTAAAGTAGTGATGCATAACATGTCGGCATCACTATCAGCCGATGTTAGTCATGTTTTAACAAATCAGTCTTTTTAACAAATTGGCCAGGTCATGTGACAGATGGTGATGCCACTCAGACGCTCTAAATGAAATCACTACAGGATTGTGGCCAACACCAGCAGGCTGGTGGTGGGCAGGTGGAGCTGGAATTGAACCAAAGACCCACTGATTCCGGGACAAACTCCTGCCACCGTCATCCCAGTGATAATTATGGGATGTTTACCTGAAGCAGAAAAGCAATGTAGACGGTGTGATCACTTTTACATGTCTAGAAAGTCTAGAAAAAAAAAAATACAATATCAGTAAATATCTTATTGGTTTAACAACAGTATTAATATCAGATATCTGCCCATTTGGTGTCCTTAATATAAACATACTGTTGAAACTGGCATCCCATATCTGAACAGTAAAAGTTCTGTGTTTTTTCAGAGAGGCTACTTTTAACAATTTGATTAGACTTGTAACTAGAATAGAGTCCTAGTTCAGGACTCTATTCCTGGGGTTTTCCTGTTTGTTGGACGCACTCTTTGTGTTTGTTGTTGTTTTTCATAATTTCTTCTCAATATCTGTTTTTTTCCTCCTCCAGCTGTTTCAAGCCTGTCAGCTGACCCAAAGAATCGTAGATGCCTGGCGCTCCAATGAGAAAGAGCAGTAGGTTTTTCCTGTTTGACGCCACAGACGTTCTGCTTGCACGATGGTCTGTTGGTGTTGGATAACTCTGCTGCTGTTGGTGTATTTCAGATCAGAGGGCGGTCGACGACGAGGTTACATGGGCCATCTGACCAGAATAGCCAATTCCATTGTTCATAACAGTGACAAAGGTCCTAATGGCCCACAGATACAGGGGCTCATCTCTGGTAAGGAGTGGTTTTAGTTGTGGTGTTTATGACTAGCATTGATACTATATTTAAATATGACTGTATAGTCTTCATACAGCTGAAACTTCAGTTTTACTTGCTAAATCGAGCAAAAATTACATAATTTTTACTTGAGTAAAAATTATGAAGCATTACTTGAGGTCTTGTGAGCAAATGTAGCTTACAGCTGGACCAGGACTTTACTTTGTGCTCTTAGGTTCATCTGGAGATTTTTAAAGAATTTTTTGGCACTCGAGCTTTTATTGATGGCTAGCAGAAGGAGAAGGACAAAGATGGCCACTAAATGTCTCAGGACTGTCATGTGGAGGACCATTACCTCCATATATGGGGTGCTGCTGTACTACTACACCATACTACACAGACATTTGGTGTTATTGGTGTCCTGTGGTGGTGCAGGGGTTAAGCACAACTCGCATAAGGAGGCCTTAGTCCTCAATGAAGCTGTCGCAAGTTCAATTCCCGGCCTGGTGACCTTTGCCACATGTTTTCCCCCTTCTCCCCTTACCCACTTTCCTGTCAAGTCACTATTAAATAAAGGCCACTAGAGCCAATAAAACCCTTAACAAATTTGGTGTTATTAAATGTGATTGGCAGTAAATATTGACTTTTTATTGAAAACAGGCTTTACAATATGATTTTATTTTGAAGTTCTCGGACATCATGAGAATTAGATGAAATTTTTTAAAATCTGACAGCCTTATGGTTGCTGATGGAGGTGATGGGATTGACTTTACTTTGTATTGCTTATGATGTGTGTTCCAGAGCTTCCCACAGAGGACAGAGAGAACTGGGAGGCCTTCATTTCTGGGCAGCTTGCTGACACAAACAAAAGAAACACTGTTGACCTGGTGAGTTACTAGATAAATTTTGCCTCTCTGAGGGATTTTACTTCAACCTTCATGTCTCCAGTCATAAAGTGACCAGAGCCTTATTGTTTTATGTTTTTAGGTGAACACTCATCACATCCATTCTTCCAGCGATGATGAGGTAGACTTTAAAGATGGTGGCTTTCACCAGGATTCTTCACTTCAACAAGTAAGACACTCAAATGTAGCCACAATGCAGACCTGGGTGATTGAATTCTTCAGAAATAGTTTAAAATCGTTTAAAACAATAACAATTCAATCACTACTAGCTTTGCTTTAAATTGGTTAGAACTGAATGAAACTAAGCTTCCACTAATTGTGTGAATGTGACCTCTTCAGTTGAGTGAAACAGATTTGTGAACAGTTTCAGCCAGGTGAGCCGGTGACAATCCCTGCAGCACAGCGTCGCCTCCGACCGCTTGGCTCCATGTGAGAGGCAGGATCATAGAGGGAAACCGTGGGAACCGTTTTTCACATTTCATTTAGAAATGATTTATTGTCAAATTAATGCATGTGCTTCATTGTTTAATCACAACAGTGACGTCCCTGGCTGAAATATTCTCAGATCACATCGTGTTTTATCGATAGGGTTTTCTTCCAGTACTGTTGATCAGACTTGTGGTGCCGTCACAGGCCTGCATGTTGCATAACCTCACCACTGGATGGCGGTTCAGACCATGTTTGATGTGAAAATGACAGCTTTTGCTTATTATGAACTCCCATAAAAATGATTTCGCATCTTCATCTAATTCACAAGGGAATTTAGTTTTTCTTAATCTTCCTGAAATAAAGATGCACGAACGTGGTCAGTCCTATGAATAAAACTGTTTCCTTCTTGTTGCCATTTGTTTCTGGAGAGAGGAGCGTGGCCATGTGATGGTGATAGTGATGCAGCAAAAGATTGTGGGAAGTTTACCTGAAGCAGAGAAGCCGCAGTGAAGTCAACATTGTGAACATGTTTTTTTTTCCAATTTGTTGAAAGAGTACTGAAATATATTATAATGATAAATATTGGTTGTCTGCCATCACAGCAATATGAATATCAGATATCGATGTTGGAACAAGGCTGCTGGAAACCGTTTTTCTATCTCAGCCGGGTTGTTACAGCCCAGCTCTGAACGCTCAGCGGTGCCGCTGCTTGCTCAGGTCATTGGTGTTTGTTTTTTATCTGATTATTCCTGATCTGTTCATCAGGCTAATGTTCTGTTTCCAAGTGAAACAGCTGGAATGAAGCTAGGCTCTTGTTGAGCTTTGGTTTTGGATCAAAAGTCGCTTCCACTGTTGAAAGGACAGTGGTGAGGTTCGAAGCTCTTGTCCTGCTGTTGAAAGATGCTGCAGGAAAGGATGAAACAATCCTGGTGATCAGGAAGAGATTTTAAACATTCTGATATTTCAGACATATTGAGATGAAGCCCAGGTTGGTGATGTCTTCCAGAAGTCCTTCACTTCTATGTGGATTGTCACATGCTCACCTGTTTGGGAGTGTGTGTAATGTCTAACAGAAAACACAAGGTGATGCTCTCTGTTGTGAAATCATCTAAGCTCTGACTGGCTGAACATGGTAAACACTGAAACTTCACTTCCATGGAAATTAGACCCCATTTATTTCTAATTCATCCTAAACTCACACAGCATGAAGAGCTGCTGACCTTTCTACATTTAGAAAGGTCAGTATCATGCAGCCTAAAGCCTCAAACATCAGAGCCTTTTTTAAATCTTTTTTTTTTTTTAGATCTATTTGGAAGCAAGTTGTCATTCTTGAGGTTTGATCAGAAAACAGCCTGCACACTGCAGCATCAGGAAGCCCCTGCTTGCAGAGCTGAGATGATTTCCAAAGCATCACCTGCCTTTCCAGTCACTTCACTCAGAATAACAGCTTCAGGTGGAATAGATAGTTGAATTGTGCATTTGTGTTTTAACCAGAATTGTGATACATTTGTAACGTTTTGTACTGCAACTAATGCCTAGCTGTGTGTAGAGCCAAGACTATATCATTATCATTGGTCCTGGGTCTTGCCAGGCCTTTTCTGATTATCAGATGCAACAAATGACGTCCAATTTTATTGAGCAGTTCGGCTTCAATGACGAAGAGTTTGCTGACCAGGATGATGTTGTGGAGTAAGTATGCATCTTGCATTAATGTCTATGACACAAAAGGCAATATAAAGCTGGTGGATTGCATATATTCCTGCACTGTTGACTATTGCATTAATTTATTTGTCACAAGTACAAAACATTTTAACTTATTTTGGATTTGAATTAGGAAAATGGAGGTTGAAATTCATCCATTTCTCCTTCCTCTGTAACAAGGCCGCAGCTTCAGCTGTTCATGGAAAACCAATCATATCCACCTCAGCTTGTTGTCTTTTGCCGACTGTAGCCTGATTTTCCCGTTTCAGGGGAAGTTGCTTTGGGTCCATGTAATCCTAAGCAGTGGTATAAAGGCTTGTGGGGAGAGCTGGCAGCTGATTGGTGCTTTAAGAACACTTGCTTCTCTTCAGACGGGGAATATCTGCCTGAAGTCTGTTTCTGTCTTCTGCTCAGCATAATCAACAGTTCAAAAGCTGGTGAGGGTTTTAGAAATGAGTGACGATTTGGTGAAATGCTCTCTAAATTAATAGAAATATGTCAGAAACAAAGTTCAGATCTTGTGTCTTTTTCATAGAAATATTGCTCAATATATTTGCAAGCTTCTAAAAAGTGAGTTCCTGTGGAAACAAACATCCAGCTGTAAAAACTCCAGCGTGTGGAGGAAGCAGTTTACCGTACCGTTCATGGCATTCATGTTTTAGTGAATTTAGTTTCTGACTTAAGTTGATTCTTACACGCATTCTTATTGGCTGATTTTCTACCGATCCAACTCAATCATGTCAGTTTGTCACTTTAATAAATATTGGATCATCTTTTCTGCTTAATTCAGAATCTTTGTGGAGAGATGCAAACATTATTTATTTCTGTATTCCATCAAACATGATTGTCCTAATATAACCAGCCTAACATCACAGGATGTTCTGACAACACGGATCAGCTGATTTCTGATCGGTATCAGAAGCTCTGGAAACCACGACCCCCACACAGTCTGAAGCAGATTTTATCCAGATAAGTGTTTGAGAACAGTCAGACATGTTGCTTATAGGTTCCACAGAAACCTGAATCCTGACTGTACACATCGGTACAAAGTCTCCATTCCAGGCAGTTGAAACCTGTTAACTTTACACCTCTGCTTTTACTACTACAGAACAGGACTGTCTTTCCACTGCAGTTTTAAAAAGTTTAATCTCTAGTTTATTAAATTACCGCTTCAGTTATGGAGTTTTTGCAGCTTTGTTTCTGCCATAACTTGCAACCTTAATCACTATTATTATTTACATCTCCATGTAAAGTGATTTTTCTCTCCCTTCCATTGTGGAGTAGCCAGAGGTTCATGTTTCTGTGAGACTGATTGGTTATCAGTGATCAGTGGAAGCAGCAGCAGTAGTTCTGTAGTTGCTGCTGGTTCAGACACTTGTGTGATTCAGGAAGTTTCTTCGTCTGGTGGTGTTCTGCACGAAACAAGTTTATCCACATATGTTGAACCTGAACTTCTGTTTACACACTTTGTAATGTGTTACCATGGCGATGCCTAAAAACTATAGCTAAACTCATGTTTTTCTTCATCTTGCAGTATTCCATTTGATAGAATATCAGACATCAACTTTTCCCTGAATACAAATGAAAGTGTAAGTACTAAATATTGATCCTAAAAATGTAAAATCTATAATGAATCTAAGAGAAAAAGGCTTTTGTTTTCGTTTTTCTACATGTCTTATTCTATGTTTACACCACAGGTCCATATGTGACCCATATCTGTCCTCAGTGTTCAGACCATGTGTATGGCCTGAATAGCAAAAACAGATTTTCCTAAAATGAGGGTTCCAAATGACAGACATATGTCATGTTTCAGAGCAGCCGGAGACTTAGCAGTGTTTTCTCTCTGTGTGAGACAGAAACCAGCAGATCAGACAGAAACCAGCACGACTGATGACTGGAATGCTGCTCTATTTAATAACAGCATGCTCACCTTATTGCATGCGTGTCATGTTAACATTAGTGTGCTGCTTCCAGTCACTGGAGTCTCTTTCAGTCAAGTGTTGCTTCACTACAGTAAATACTGTTGCTGGCAATTTTACTAAAACAAATTTATTTGTAAAGCACTTAAAAAAACACCAACACAAAATGCTGCACATCATGTAGCACAGGAAAACACTTCTGTAAATACATACACACTTCATATTAATCTCACACCAGGTCAAAGGCCAAGGAATACAAATGTTTTTGATTACATCACCTGAAAATTAATGCATACACTGAGGTGTGCAGCGTCTGCACTTATTTCCACAGGCAGCAGCCCGTGTGTTGTCGTGACAACTTCTGTACTTCACGGCTGCAGATTGGTTGTGCTGGAGTCTGATCTGAAGTTATGAATGAAAACCATTAAAGCAATATTGTTGTCAGGAAAAGATCTGAGTCAAGCTTTCAGAACTGCTTGTGGTTCGTTCACGAAACGCCTCTAGCCCGGCTGAGTTTGTTCCAGTTAAAGAAAACTAAAGTACAGCAGCCCAGTAACAGTCATCGTCTTTAACCCCCGATGCTGTTCTGCTGCTAAAGCTTTCTGAGCATGTGCAGTGGTTCTAACTAGGGCTGTTGTAAACAAATATTTTAGTAATCGAGTAATCTATCGATTATTCTTACGAGTAATCGGATAAAAACAAGATAAAATAAAACATTGGTAAATCTAGCATAACAGCAGTATTATTATCGCATATCAATATCAGTCCAATTTTCCACATTTGAGCTTCCCTAACAATTACTTTTCTGTAGTTTAGAAAATTAATTTGTAAAAATAATAGCTCACTTTAAGTTATCCTGAAGAAAAGCTATACAAAAATCTGAAATTATATTCAATGTAATAATAAAGAGGCACACTCACAAATAGCCTGCCTATCTGTGAGGAGGTTATTATAAAAAAATGTCTATTCTCCAGCTTTTGGTTTATGTATTCATCTTCTGTCAGTTTAATAGATGAACTCTCACCTTGCCCAGCCATTTATAGCCATTTATTGTGTTCATGTTAGCGACGGGATTTGACACGGTCTGCTTTCGTCACACACAGAAACACATCTCCCAGGTATGTAACATCACGATGCTCTTCGCCACCCATTTGTTGCGACCGGGATGAAATTTATTTTCTGGTATTTTCAGTCAAGCTACGCATCTAAAGCAAAGCTGCCCGCAGTGTTCAGTCTATCCGCTCACCGTGTAAATAATCTCGCCATTCGCTCTGAACCAGCAGCTCAGTGAGGAGAAAAGCTGCCGTATTCCAAGCATTGCTCCCGTCATTTTAAGGATGTTTATTGGTCCCCCGAAAAATAACAAAAACCCGGACGTTATCATGAATCAGTAAAATCCTCCAAGGCTGAACTTGAAAACTGGACGTTATGCTGCTAACACTTAGCTTTCATCAACAACACAGGCGGAAGAGAGAGCGCGGCGGAACGCAAATGACGACCTGGCCGGAACACGGTGTGCTAAATAATTAAACATAATTTAACGAGGCTTCGAGGCAAATAAATTTTCCTCGAGGAATTTTAATAATCGAGGTACTCTAATCACTCGAGGAATCTTTTCAGCCCTAGTTCTAACCCTGCAGTGTGTGTGTGTTTCCCCAGGCTAATATAGCCTTGTTTGAGGCGCGCTGTAAGGAGAAAATCCAGCAGTTTGAAGATGCTGGTTCAGATGAAGAGGACATCTGGAATGAAAAAGATGTCACCTTTGCTCCAGAGGCACAGAGACGTCCGAGGTGAGTCAGCGGCGGGAGGGAGGGCATTGGTCTGAAAATAGTTTTAGCTAAGCTTGAAAAGCAACAACTCTGATTAAACAGAGGGAAAGAGTGAGTGATCTCGTCACAATGTGATGGCTGAAGCATTCATCAGCTCACCTCCAGATGATCAAGCAAAAAGTGGCCTGTAAGCCTGTGTGTGCAGCTTCAGTGGTTTTCTGACTCTGCGTGTGTGCGCATGTGTTCAGGAGTTCAGGCAGCACCGACAGTGAGGAGAGCACAGACTCGGAGGAAGAGGACTCAAAGAGAGATCCATTTGAACCCTGTCACCCCGGCTCTGATGACCGTATGGAGGTGGACACAGGTTGGTGTAGCAGCACACACACACACACACACACACAGAGTCGGGTGGTTTGGCTGTGTTCCCTTCGTTGATGCTAAAATGTAAACTGTAATTTCCTGACGGTTTTAGGTAGCATCATTGCTACACAGACACATCCTGCTCTGTCTGACTGATTGTGTTTCCGTCTGAAGCGCCAGTGTGGACGGCCAGCTTTGACGACGTTCCCATGGAGACGGGTTCAGGTGCAGCTGCAGCCTCCAGCCCCAGCACCCCTGATGCATCCTCTCCTTTGTCTTCTACCACAGCAGCTCCCCCAGAGGCGGCCTGGAACTCGTCTCCTGCCGCAGCAGTGCCCGGCACTGAGACGGGCTGGGCAGACTTCTCCAGCTTCTCTCCCGTCTGGTATGGCAGCCTAACGGCTGTGCTCCACATCTGGCTGCAGCACTCACTTTACCACCTGCAAATATGGAAGAGTTCTTAACAGAAATGTCTGTTTTTCAGTCCCAAAGACCCTCTAAGGTGCAACTCTCCCGTTGCTATGGAAACCAGCGTGGAAACGATAGACCCTCTGGGGGTCAATGCGCCGATGCGTCCTGACGGTGAGTTGTGGATGTCAGAGAGTGTTTGCTCCTGCTTCGTTAACTGATATTAGAACCAGCCAAGCTGATTGGCTCCTGCTGTGTCTCCAGAATGTGATGGTTGGTTGGGCGCTGACGTGGCTCCGCCCTCGTCCTCCTCGTCTATAGACTGTGGCAGGACGGTGGCGGCGGACGAGTCATCGTGCTTGGAGCAGCGCAGCATCACAGAGACGGTCATCAATGGCTCCATGAAGGAAACCGTCAGCCTCACTGTTGATGCCAAGACTGAGACAGCCGTTTTCAAGAGGTCCGCCTTCCAGGCACACACACATACACACAACCATTACATCTTCTAAACCAGTGTTTCTCAACCTTTTTTGTGC